ACTAGGGCCCTGTGTGTGCATACAACGGAATATTACTCAGCCGTAAAGAGGAAGGAAATCCTGTCTCATGCTACAACATGGATGAAACTTGAGAATGTTAAGTGAAATAAGCCAGTCATAAAGACACTGTATGAATCTACTTATATGAGGTGGTATCTAAAGAAGTCAAACACATAGGAACATAAAGTAGAATAGTGGTTGCCGGGGTTATGGGGAGGAGGAAATGGGGAGTTAATGTTCAGTGGGTATACAGTTTCAGTTTTGCAAGACGAAAAAGTTCTGGAGATTAGTTGCACTACACTGTGAATTTATTTAACACTGTTGAACTTTGCTCTTAGGAATGGATAGGATGGTAAATATTACATTATGTGTTTCTTACCATAATAAAAAAGAAAAACAAAACAAAACTCTAGCGCCCCATGCGGTTCAGTCCAGACGTAAGTCACCTTTAGAGACACGCAGTATCGCATTCAATATTACTAAAGAGAATTCAAATTTATGCTGCTGACTCAAAAAATACCAAAGGCGTCCAATTCACAATCCATAGGAACACTTCTTAAAGTCCTCATTCTTTTCCACTTTCAGTATTTCTTCTCCTTAACAACTGCCCAAAGTAGCTCTCTCAACTCCTGGCTATGGAAGGTCTGCCCAACCCAACCCTGGACCTTCCTTGTCTTCTTCCATATTTCATTTTGTTTTGTTTTCCTGTGAGTTGTTCTGCCTCCCTCATCCAAACCTAAATAAACCAATCTCACTCATTGCAACTCCTCCACAACTTCCGCCTGCTATTCTGATTCTACCCAACAGAAAGCCAGGAAGTGAGCTGGCCGACTCAGAAGCTCCTTTACAAGGAAAGGAAGTGCCCAACCTGAGCTGTCAAAGATAGAATTCTCATTAGCAAGTGGGATGAGAGGGGATAGGGCAAATACATATCATTTAATACGTCACTTCACATCCCATCACAATAAAGGGCATGCCTATGTTCTCATGAGCCATAATTGCCCTGAAAATAATATAGTCTTTTCTTTTTAAAATGTTTTTTATTGAATTTTTAGAGAAAGAGAAAGGAAGAGGGAGAGACGGAGAGAAACATGGATGTGAGAGAGAAACATCCATCAGCTGCCTCCTGCACGCCCCCTACTAGGAATTGAGCCTGAAACCCAGGCATGTGCCCGTAAACGGATCGAACCAGTGACCTTTTGGTACATGGGACAATGCTCAACCACACAGGCCAGAATCCAGTCTTAAATGATAATGAATGTCATCACTCTTCAAGTCTCCGATTGAACTTTGCTTTGAATGAGCTAAACATGGGCATGCATGTGTTAAATGAGTTTGGGTGTTTGGCTACTGGGCCTAACCAAGTTCTAAATAGTTTAAATATAAACTGATTTACTCATCCGTTCAATGAATATTTTTTAATGCAACATCATGCTAAGCTGTAAGAACACTGAAGAGTACAAGTTTTGGGTGGTCTTCTTCTGGTCATGGTTTTTCTTCCAGCCTTCGAGATCTTATGTCTTATTGCTCTAACTGAAGCAAGTTTCCTTCTATCCGTTGGTATGCCTCCTAGGAGACCTGCTGCCTGGTCTTACAGGAAAATTCCTTAACATTTTGTGGGTTATAAACTTTTTAAAAAACTAATGAGGACTATAGACTTTCTCTCCAGGAAAAAAAAAAAGTGTGTGTATGTTTCATAGTTTCAGGGAATTGAGGGAATCTCCTGAATTCCATCCTTTGATTCTCCAAAGATCATCTGGGTTGTGTTAACAAAGTGACCCAGATGATCTCTAGACCTCACCTCAGAGCTATGGCAGAACCTTCAGAGGTGGGCCCCAAAATAAGCATTTTTAAATTGTGGTAAAATATACATAACACGGGAATTTCCATTTTAACCATTAAATAAGCATTTTTTAAAAAGTACTACAGGTTTTTTGGATGTGTAGTCACTGTGTTAGGTACACATGTGTGCGCACACACAGTCTATTTAGAAATACATATTATTAGAAGAATGCTGGCCTTTTATCTTAAAGCGATCTAAGTCAGCCAGAGGTTGGAATGTCCAAGGCACTCAGACACTCTGTTGCTACTTGTGTTTCCGAGTGTTTGGGAAACGCCAGAAGCTGACTTTCCCCGTCCTTGGCCAGGCCTTTAGTGCGACACGAGGTGGTAGGTGGGCCTGTGAAATCTCTGTGGCAGAGACAGAGGCCTGTGCATCACTATGGGGTTGGGGTTACTTTAGAGTTAGACTCAACTATGTACGGATTAATGGCTTGGGTCAGGTGTTTTTAAAAAATATATATTTTTATCGATTTCAGAGAGGGAGAGAGAGAGAAAAACATCAATGATAAGAGAATCATTGATTGGCTGCCTCTTGCTCACCCCCTACTGGGGATAGAGTTCACAATCCGCAATCTGGACATGTGCCCTGACCAGAAATGGAACCTGCCCTCCTGATTAATGGGTTGATGTTCAACCACTGAGCTACACCAGCCAGGCAACTTGGGTCATTTTGTAAATGGGCAAACCCAAAACAAGCTCCCCTTCTAAATCTGACCCATTTGATGATGCCTGGACCTATGACAGGTGGAGTTGAAATGGACTCAACTCCATGTTTATTGTTACTTAGGGTTATAATAAGTGAGTGGAAATATCTTTAATTAGAGGTAGGTGTTTACAAAAATATCTAATTTTTTTTCGGAAAATAAAATGCTAATAAAAAGAAATGAGGAAATAAATAAATGTGCTCTCTAATCAGTATGGTAGTGGGTCAATTTTATTCTTTAATATATAAATTTCCTGAATATTCTATGTTTTCCATAGTTAGCTTGTATAGTTTTGTTATCATAGAAAAAAAAAACTTCCCACTTGGGCTTTTAGACTTGGTGTTGATTTCACTTTTGATTGCCATTCTTGCTGGTCAGAAGTGAACCTCGTGCCCGCTTTTCTCTCCCCAGACAGTGGTCCACTCCATAGAACTTCAGGCAACTGATGGGCACGACCGCCCACTCACCGACTGCTCCATCGTCAACAGTGGCAAGATAGACGTGAAAACACCCTTTGTGGTTGAGGTCCCCGACTGGTGATGCAGCTGGCAGGAAACAAGGAACATACTCTATCAGGGTGTGCGTGCGAGCGTGCATGTGTGCGGGTCTTTTGATTCTTCAAAGTTACTGTTTTGCTTTGTCTTTCTACTCTCTTCTGTTTTCCACACCAGATCACAGGAGAGTTATAAAAATCAACCAAAGTTTATTTTGCATGAATTTTGTTAAATCACTTGTTTAGGAACTTTGTACTTAAAAGACATACCCCCCTTCCTTCAATGGTGCTATTTTTAAACTAGAAAACTTGGTATTCGCTATTTTCTTTGGAAGAACACAATCATTATTTTGCTGAATTAACTGTGATCCCCAAGTTAGGTGATACTGAAGATTTGTCAGGAAAAGATGGGGACGTGTATTGTTTTGTATTTAAACAGAATTCATTTTAGGTAAAGGGAGATTTGATTAGTATAATCTGATATATGTCATAGGAACCTTTACCTGATGCAGGGTGCTTTGATGTTCTCTGTATTAAATACTTTTTATATAGATCAACTCTTTTTGCAAGACTTTTTTATTAAATTAAAAATTCTTTAAAAATTAATGTACAAAAATATATACACTCTAATATTAATGAATGGATTGGAGAGGATTCTGTAAATCAGAGTATTAAAATAATGGAATAATTTGGGGTGAGAATACACAGAAATGATGCCCATCCACATTCCAAATACTTGAACTGATTAGTCCCTAATTTTTACTAACTGCAACATTTTCAGAAAGGTCCCTTGAGTCCAGTAGCAACAAAAAGGAATCTTTTTTACTTAAATGAGCTGAGAAAGGAAAATCCTGTTGGGGCCTTACTGTGACACTCCTGGCTGTAATGGCCTGTGCCTGCTCTTGGTCACATGGGAATGCTATCTGTTAGAAAATAGCCTATTGCTTCTCTGGGTCCCATGCAGTGAAGGTCCAAAAATTCCATCTCTTGAGCTGCATTCTAAGAAAATGGCTCAATGAGAGATGAGAGGAAATGAGCATTCTAACTGCTGATGGGTTAATCCCCACAGCTCTCTGGAGAAGCCAGGAGGGCAGTGCTGTTCCAGTGGCCAAGGAGGGCCTCCTGCAGGCGGGCACATTCAAGCTGAGGGCTGAGGAAGGAAGAGTAGGTGGTGGGCAGGCCAGACCCGCATTGAGGCCTGCTAGGCAGAGGGGGGAGGGGAAGGGTGAGGATCCTGAGGTGAGAGGGAGTGGGTTCCCTCCAGGGCAGAAGCCAAAGCCAGCATGTTGCATCCTGAGAGGTCGGAGGAGTCAGGCTGAGACTGGGTCATGTGGGGTCTCAGGGCCAGGGTAGTCACAGTGTAATGGGGAGTTACCAGTTTAAGCTGGGGAAGGGCATGACGTGGTCTGCATTGGAGACAGATTTTTACAGGGAGCTGAAGTATGTATCAAGAAACAAAACACTCCTAACCTTTGAAGTCCCAGTCCTGGGAATTTGATTTAGAAAGTGATCTGAAGTTGTGTTGGGGGTCATCCAGTCCCCTGTGTTCTGGGGATGGCCCCCATTCTGTTTGGGGATCACACCATTCCCTCAAGCATTTCTTGCCCTTGGTGTAGGCCTGTGGTCGGCAAACCGCGGCTCTTTGGCCCTTTGAGTGTGGCCACGAAGTTTCAATCGCACTGTACGTGCGCACCCACACGTGGAATTTTGTGGAAGAGCCACACTCAAGGGGCCGCAATTTGCCAACCACTGGTGTAGGCTGACCCTATAAATAAGTATGACCTGGCCTGGTCAACTCATTCATTACCTCTTGATACATATATACTGAAGGCTGAATAGAGATGCAGTGTTGGCCCTCATGGTTCCCAGGGAAGGAGACAAGTAATTCACATGTATGCCACATGAATATATAGCAGAGCATCGGGTTGTAATACATCTATGAAGAGAAATGGAGCAGGCAGGAAGGTGGAGAGTGGAGAGGTGATCCCGAAAGTCCCTAAGCGTGGGCTGAAGGATGTGAGTGGGTAGTAAGCTGTGAGGACATGGGAGGTAGAGGGAACCAAGAGCAGTGGCTCTGGGTGAAGGGCAGACTGGCGGGTTTAGGGAACAGCAAAAAGTCCATGTGTGCAGTGCCAGGGTGATGGGGAGTGAGGTGGCAGAGGGAGTAGGGTTGTCCTGTTGGCCAAACAGAACATTGCCTCAACCCTGACCTGGCGACTGGCTCAAGGATAGGTGTTTGACCCCAGGGGTGCTAATGAGCCTCAATTGTGGGACTTCTGCTGAAATTCCAGGAAAGGGCTGCTGTCTCTTCTGTGAAGATGTAAAGGAGCAGGTCTGAGAATAAAATCAGCAGCGAGGGAAGCTGGACCAGCGGACAGAAAGATGGATGCCTGAAGACACAACTGAGTCCAGCAGCCTGAAGCCAATCTCCACCCTAATTTATTAGCCATGCAGGCCAATACATTTCCTTTTTGGCTTAAGCCAGGGTGAATTATTTTTTGTGATTTGCAACCTCAAGTCTTTGTCCAATACAGCAATATTGAAAAGTTTTATGTATAAAGATGTGAATTGCAGAATTATTTATGGTAGCAAAATACTGGAAGCAACCTGAATGTCCCCAAATGGTTATAAAACATACATCCCATAATAGAATACTATGCATTCATTAAGACCGACGTTACAGAACTTAGGAGTAACATGAGAAAATGGATGTTTTCTGGAAAAAAGTAGAAATTCTGTATACAGCATGATCTCACTTATGTAAATATACACTGAGTGGCCAGATTATTATGACCACCTGACATTTGTAGGCAAATTAGCTATAATTTTGTGCTGAAGTTGCCAGAGGGCCAGACCATTATAAATAGGGAAGCAGGTTGTTTACCACGACAGTAAAGTGATTTTTTTCTGAAGATATGGGTAAACAGTGCGATTTAACAGCCTTTGAATGGTAATTGACCATACCTCCGTCACACTTCCCATTGGCTAATCAGGGCGATATGAAAATTAACTGCCAACCAAGATGGCAGCCAGCAGCCAGGCAGCTGAAGTGAACAGGAAGCTTGCTTGCTCCAGTGATGGAGGAAGCCAAGGTTCCCTGCCTGCCTTGCCGTCCTCTGAGCTGTTCTCTAAGAAAAAATGTTGCAATTATAGAAGCTAACAAACTCCAGATACCTGCTTTCAGCCAGCCGGCCTCGGAGCTGGAGCCGCAACAAAGTTTCAATTGCAGAAGGTAAATAAATACCAGAATTAAAAAAAAAAGAAAAAAGGAGAGACTGTGGGGTGCATGCTTTCATGCTGTTTCTGCCAAATCCTCACTCTGCCATCTGCATGATGCAACTGGAAACGTGATTCATCGGACCACATGACTTTTATCCAATGCTTGTCTGTCCAATCCTTGTGTTCCTGTGCAAACTGGAGACATTTTATCTTGGTAACTGCAGACAGCAAAGGTGTTCGAACAGGCCTTCGGCTTCCATATCCCATACAATGCAGTGTACGGCTAATTTGCCCACAAACGTCAGGTGGTCATAATAATCTGGCCACTCAGTGTATACTCATAATGCAAATGCAACAACATGTAAATGGACAGAAATCAAATCTGAATGGTGGCATTTAAAAAAAAAAAAACTCTTACATTTATATTTTTTACTTTTTTCAGTCTTCCAATTTTTCTCTAGAGTGCATTTCTTTTGAATAATTATGAAAAGGAAACATTAAGCTTTTTTTTAAGGTAACCAACTGGAAACAAATGACCTCTTAGATATATAAAGCGTTTTGAATTTCAAAGGTCAGAGATCACATAAGCAAGCCCCTGCTGCCCACCAGGCATAGGGGCATGTACCTGATACCATACTTGCCATCTAGTGTTTTCATTCATATGAGCCTAATGACATCTCTCTAGCTACAAAGCAGAAAGTGGTTCATTTTCAAAGTGCTGAAATTCTGAGACCATCAGGTAGCAAACTGTCTGGCTGTCTGTTATACCAGAGGACCAATAAACTCAGGCCACACCCCCTGTTAGAAGCAGTTTATTTCTTGTACCCTGAAGGGCAGGCCTTACACCAATCAGCAAACAGAAGACTACAAACTATTCGTTTACCAAAGAATCGATGCTTTCCGCAAAAGCTTTTGAAGCAAGCAGGGCACTCTGTGCCAGGCGGGCTGTGAGAAGGACACATGTAGGAGCCAAGAACCTGTATGGGTCAGAGTACACTGGCCACCGCCACACCAAATGACGGCACTTTAGTCTTGAATCATTTTCATAAACAATTTAAAACATCTTGGTATCCTTAGCCATGAGTTGTTTTATTCTACATGTTAATTAGCAATTTCCTGGATCATTGAATAAGGACTTAGTAAGATGTATTCTTGGGTTGGATTAGTTAGGACACTTTCAAAATTATTGCCCACTCGGTTTCTGATGAATTCTTAGGTTCTGAACAGAACTCACCAACCTCATTTGTTAGTTCAGTGGTTTTGAGTTACATAAAGACAAAAACATGGCAAGGGGTTTATAGCAGGAAAAGAATTTGTTTTTGTTTTTCAACATTCCTATAATTCAGACAGCTGAGGAAATGTTTGATCTGCAAGGCTCAGAAAGTCAAAGTCCCCTCAAGGCACTTTTTTTTTTTTTAAATTAAGAGAGAGTAAAAACAGTATTTGTAATGGAAAATTTTGTTGCTGTTAAGGACATAATGGCTTCTACTTAGTTATAATTCATCTTGTGAATTTCAGATTTTGGCCAAGCGTTAAATCTTAGGTGCAATATAACATAACCTACTTGGAGATCGGCTTGTGTTCCTGATCATCTTAGAGCAGTGGTTCCCAGTGTGGGGCACACGCCCCACAGGAGGGCAATTTGATTTTTAAGGGGGGCAATTGGAGAATGAGTTATTAAGTGAATTTTTTTGCATTTCTTATGGTTCTAGGGTCCTCATATACAGTATATACGTAGATATTGTGACATATTTATGCATTTCAGTTCTCTATTATGTTTTGAAACTTTGCTATTTTTTCATATTATTTTTTAACAATTTCTTAGTGATTTCTTCCTCAGTACTTCAACTGTCCTTTCGTTCTTTTTCTCTTTCGTGGATGCCATGTTCTTTGGAAGCTTGGTTATGGCCTTTTAGGCTTCCTCCACATGAAGGAATTCTTATTATTCATATTTTGAATAATAAGAATTATATGTCACAGGGAGGCATCAGGATTTTAGAGATGCTTAGGTGGGTATGGCCCCAAAATGGTTGGGAACCACTGACCTAGAGCAATGGAAAACACAATGGCATTAATGCAGAATTAGTGACTAGTCACAGTTCTGTCTGGGGGTGGGGGTGGAGGGGTGGGGGAAAGACTATCTGACAAATATTAAGAATCACAACAAAATGCATCATAAAACCCACAAATGGAGTTTTACTTTCATCCCTAGTTCCGTCAGAATGCTCAGAGATTTGGAGAGTTTGGAGAGGGCTCAACATGCCCATGTCCCTCCTGCTGCCTCCTTCTGAAGTTTTATTAGGAGTCAGAGAAATGTTCACACCCATTCGGGTTTTCA